CAGCATCCCAAACCCTTTGCCTGTCACCTTTTTCGGGTAGAGGCTTTGATAATTCGTGATCGTGATCGAAGTCACTCTAGTAGGCCCCTACAAGTTCCTGGATGTAGTGAGCACCTGAATACTTCCCAGCGGGATTCTCAGAAGGTCCCGTCCGGCGCGAAGGGCGCCAATTCGTGAGCCATCTTTCAGCAAGTGGATGGAGTATTCATACGAACGTTATTTGATATAATTGGTGTAATGTTGATACAAGTGCGGTGATGTAATGGTGTGGATTGCGTACGTGCTGCCCAGACCGTGTTCATTTGCTGCCATATAAACGTATTCTGCGCGTTATGATCGCATTATCTCCCAACACCTAGACCACGCCACGCAACACTACGCGTCATGGTGAAAAGCATGGTATTTTTCTTCAGTCCTTGATCAAAGTGCAGTATGTTGTTGAGGTTGGATTGCTTGGTTCAAGATTAGCTGTGAGGGTGGTTTATGCCTAAAATATAAAAGGTATGTTTAAATCCCGACATAAATCTAATTGAAATTAAAATAAACTGTTCGTAATTATTGAACGTTTCTGTCATAGAACTGCACTGCACCACAGGGGAATATAGGCAGGAAACAAGTATTTCATTATCACCTTATGCCACAGGAAGCTTAGCACCGACTGCAAGAATCCTTCTGGCATGTTTGTAAAATCGTGGTTACTCACTATTAATTTAGCAATATCAAACGCGTGGCTAAGTCACGCTGGGCCTGTATTCTTATTTCAAGCACTGTAAGTTCTCACTCATGTGGGTCCAAAATTTACATTGCATCTGGTACCCTAAAATGTGAATAAATAACGCAATTTCTCGCTTCAAGTCAAAATGTTGACACTGATGTTTGTGACACAGATGGCGATGCTTTGATTCTCTTTCTGTGAACCGTACTTGCAAAGCATATATGAATGTGATATACATACACAAATTGGATGGTTGTGTGCAGGCGTGTTGTATGGTTTACTGCTGAGTTCATGTAAATATGTGAGTTTTGCTTGACTTGCCAACATTGCCTGATGTACTGATTTAGTGCATGTTGTTGATTGCTGCAGATCATAGACCGTAAGTTCACTTCGACATTTTTTTTTTTGCTTTTCGACAAAAACAGTCACAAATGGTGCACATAGTATCTGCTTTCCATGGGCCATAATCTAACATCTAAACTTCATATTAATACATACAGGAAATAAATCAGTTTGCTTAAGTTTTGCGATTATGGTTTTATGGTTTTACAGCTTTTGGAAGGAAGATTCTGTGGATAAACCTATGTGCACACTAGTCATCACCAAACTTAATGAATGATTCTCTAGGAGTTTCATTGGAAACTTATTATGAGCATTGTTATAAGCATGCAAAATATTCAGCTTCAAGAATTCAATGGAAGCATTCAATACCGTTACACACGTTGAAGAGATCACTTCTTTTCACTTACGGATACTACGAACAGTTAGTTTATTTTGTTCTGCCAGTTTTACCAAACTATGCTACTGTCATTAGTCTAGGAACTGTTGCTTGGTAATTCCTCCGCCGTCTTCCACATCCATGCCTTTTTCCCAGATGGATGTCAAGTCCTCATCCCCATCGCTGGCCGCTGCGACAGCGTAGTCTCCACAGTTCTGCTGTGGTTCACCTGCCACTCTGTTCGCACGCGACGCACGACGTGGGCGGACGGATGTCTCCGGCGGCGGCGGCCCCGCGGATGCCTCGCCGCCGTCCCTGCCGCCAGGCAGCCTAGTCGTCGGCAGATGCGCGGGCGTCACTACCCGTGTAGTCATCGGTGCTGCGGTGCGCGCGAGTGTGTGCGGCGGCAGCGGATGGGAGTGCTAAGGTGCGGCTGAGGTGTTACCGGCAGATGCGCGGGCGTCACTACTCGTGTAGTCATCGGTGCTATGGTGCGCGCGAGTGTGTGCGGCGGCGGCGGATGAGAGTGTTAAGGTGCGGCTGAGGTGTTACCGACGGTGATTGGGTGCCACCTGCACGATTGAGGCATCACGGGAGAGGTTCTGACGTCACCGCCGCGGCTGAGATGTCACCAACGCGAGTGGGGCGCCATCGGCGAGGCTGATGTGCCAACGGCGTGGCTGAGGTTCTACGACTCGGGCAGGAGACACTGCTGCTTAAGTATTCCGTTCACTTGTGATAAATAAAGGTAGCAGTGCTCTGCCTGCAGGCCGTGCTCACGTAGCAGTGCTTCACTTGTCAGTCATTATTACGTGAGTGATTTGATGGCTGTTCGTCATTAAAACAGAGCGGTGATTTTCCTGCCAGTCACTATTACCGAGACCGCACTGTTTTGTATGCTGCAGCAGTGCCCCTCCTCCCCGCCCCACATACACACAGGGGTCATTATTGCACCCCAGTTTTTCAGCCAGCAACTCAGTTTGCGTCCTGAATAATATTCTAGGGACCCTAGGGACGCCAGGTGCTAAGGTCAACGCTCGTATTTGTCTTCATATGGTTACGCTGTGTTGTACCGAGTAACCTGTGCCTCGTTTTGTCATTCCGAAATGTTTCTGCTGAGGTCAACGTTGTCCGATTTCAAAGGCGACGTTGCTTTACTCGTCGATCATGACAGTGCATGTGCATCGGTTATGACCACACCATGATCGTAAACCGCGCGGCAATGCCTTGCCTGTCGGTCTTTGATGGACAGAAAATTGAGTGTTGTGTTTTTTTTGTGATTACCAAGTGATGGAACCAAAGTATACTCCGAAGATTCACTCGATTCTATATCTATATGACGTATATGACGCGTATAATTGATTATATTCCTTCAAATGTGGGGGCCGTGTGTACCTCCTGCGATTGTACATCGATCTTTCATGTGCGCATGGGTCCCGCGTAGCTCTGCAAGACTCCGGGATAGACAAGCATTCTTCGAAGGGGTTTCAGCGAGGGTCTCAAGAACCGTAAGGGTGCTCCGCGTGAGGGTTCTCCAAGACCATTTTGAAGTTCTTTGAAACGATTTTGAAATGTGGTGATCCCGTGATAATGTACGCCCTACTTGGAAATAAGGGCATAGTTTTCACCGTGTCTCGGTGTGGTATATTTAACATCCAGGAGTATAGTTGTAAAAAATCAGTTTGAGGTTGGCCGAGAAGGGCAAAATGCTAAACTCGCTCTTACGCTGCTTCAAAAGATAGTTCTACGTTCAGTATGCGAACCGCTCAATGTTGGGGAATTAGACCCTCGTTTGAATACAGAAGATTTATCAGTTCTGGATTAGTTCAGCATAGTTCCTACTAGTTTGTGGGCATTTGCTTCCCTCAGAATCCGTAGTTATGTTTTTATACCTAGATGTAGGTAGCACAGTTCTTAAGCTATGGCAGGCAGCTCCTGATGCTACAACTAGCATGTACCATGCACTGTGCGCTGTAAAATGGCACGCTTTGCATAACTGCCAACATTGGAGTTCAAATATCACTTCCTTACTTTGTGATCTGATTGCAGCAATATATTTTTTAATAAACGGTTGTACCAATAAGTCCAAGGTAATAACTTGTACACTTGTGCTAAGGAAAGCAAAAGCCGTTTCATTTCAAATCCTCCTCCTCCGAAATCCACAAGGTGATCAGAAATATCGGCCCGAAGTCTCGCGGGCTTCTGAGTCTGCACGCTGCGAGCCTGGTTGAGGGTTCAAAAGTGGCAGCTCCAGCTTCCACCTCAGCTCTACCTCTTTCGTGTAGTTCTATTAAAGGGAGTCTCCCACCTTCTTTGCACTTTCCACTTATTTTTTACATCAGACGCTCGCGAATTAATGGCACCAGTTTTCTTGTACTCCTTCATAGCAGCTCAGAATTTCTTGTGAAGCGGGCTTTTCTGCCGGAAAAATCTCATTTGACTCCCTGTTCACCGCCATGAAAGCAAGACATTTCATTTGCCTTGCTTTTTCCAACGCGTCAGTTTTGTAATGTTTGCAACACACCAATGCTTCAGAATATTTGAGTGGTAAATGCTGCGATAGCTTGAAACATTGTTTAGATGAAACGATTTGCGAACATGAAGCTGTGATCCCACAAATTCAACGAGACGCAATACTATGGCTTCGATTTCTCCCCTTACCACATGACCATGGCGTTAACCACAGTGGTTTTTCCAGGATGGAAAATGGAGATCTAGATGCGTTGATATTTCGGCAACATGACTATCGAAACGAATAGCAGGAGTGAATCTGCCCCGTCTGTGAATTTATATTATTAAGGCATCTAAATCCCCTGGTTGGCTGGTTTTTCCTCCGAGGAATAAAGCTATTACTGCTGTCTTATCAGTCGCCTTCTCGGTACCAGTCCCTCGCCCCCTGGGCCAAAAACAAACGCTCTTTTATTTCACCGGCAGAGGCCCGCACGGCTGCCGTTGTGACGACGGTAGCCGCGACTGCAGGGAAGAAGGGCAATGCTTTTTTGAAGCGTTGTCGGCGTAATTTGGACTAAACAATAATTGAAATCGATATCATTATGATGCCTTGACGGTATTCCAGTGGCATCACTCAGTGCTATTATCTGACGTAACCAGTCCTCAGAGTTCATAAGAGAATGATTATGAAATATGCCCCAAAGGAGGGACCCCCTTTGAGAGATGTCCTTGCGCAGCGCTGTCAGTCACCAGCGCACGAACGAAGAAGCAGCACTGCTACGAGCTCTAAGAAAGGTAAATATCTTGCCTGCGCAGCTCGCCTTTCCCCGCTTTCCCTAACTAGCTTTGAGCAGCAGTAAGGCTCCCCGAATACACTGCTATCTGTGTGTTATGGGACAGACAGCGAATTTTGTCCACGTAAACAGCCGGTGGCAGCAAACACAGACTAAATCACCAAACATGATGTTGGCAGCTAATCCGCCCCATCAGCGCTTTGCCTCAGTCGCTGCACGGCCGCAGATGCAGTGCTGCACTCCCGGACGCGTGTCGCGTGTGCTGCTGCTCGCGTGCTGCAGGCTGGACGCGCGCCGTGGTCTCGCCGGCCCTCCATCCCCCATGCCGCGGCGCGTGAGCACCGCCCCAGGTGCGAGGGCCTACGGGGCCGTTCGTGTCGGCGTGGGCTCGCGGGCGACCGCACGCTCGCCTCCCAGCAGCCGCGCATCCGGCTGTTTGGCCTTTCGGCGAACACCCGCCGGCTGACCGGTCGCCGACGAAAAATGCCGAGGCGGCGGGCGCGGCGCGGCCGTGGCGTGGCTCTGGCGGAGCCGGCGCACGCCCGCCCGTGTCCGGCGCGCGGCAGCCCCGCCCCCTGCGGCGGCGGCGCCTCGCCGCTCTCCGCAGCTGGGATTCCCTCGACGCCGCGGCGCGCCGGCGCGCGGCGCCCGGCCGGTCAGCGGCGCTCTTACTTAAGTGGCGCCTCACCTGGGGGCTGGGGCCAGTTGGGGTGCTCGCCGGCCGCCAGAAGCAATGCGGGGGTCGGCCGCGTCAGTCATGCGCCGGTCGCGCTCGTGCTGTGTCGTGTGGCCGCAGGCGCTGCTGCCGCCGCTGCTGCTGCTGCTGCTGCTGTGGGCGGCGGCGGCCGCCGCGCTGCCGGCCGAGGAGCGGCTGGACGAGCTCGAGGCTCTAGAGGCGGAGGCCGCGCTCGAACAGCTGGTGGACAGCATACGGGAGCGCGTGATGCGCGAGCTCGGCCTAACCAGCATGCCAGTCAGGGTGAGTAGCCGACTCCTGGCGGCGTCCGCCTCGCCACAGACGGCGGCGCCGGTTTGCAGCAGTGGGAAATGCTAGTCAGCAGTTCGTTGGAATGCTTTGACCGGCATTTGCAGCATTGTGGTTGTTAGAAAAGATTTGGCTGATTAGAACGAGCAACACGTGGCAGCTGCCCATTGTGAGGAGAACGCGGTGATGTGAAATAATAACAGCCGCGTACGAATGAGACAGACGGAGCAGTTACGGCGCTGTGAGAGTGGGAATACGGCTATTGATATCCCCTAAGTTTCCCTTTGTAGGATAAAACATGCTGACCAGCCAAATGGGTCATCTAAACCGCATTGATGGCATTGGACTTGAGCTCCGGAGTGGATAGGCCTTCAGCTGACTGCGAGGTCACGCTGGCCAGCACGTCGGTTGTCGGTGCCGATCGCTGCACAGAGACAGGCAAACAGTGTGCACTGACAGCACCGTCAGGCCGGCGAGTGGGTCCGCATGAAGCGGCGGCGCGGCAGGCGGAGGTGCGTGGGCCGCGCAGTGGGCGGCTCAGCCCGGCCCGCGCTCTCCGCCCGCCTGTCGCACCGGACACGGCGCGTGGAAAACCCGGCCCGTCGAGTTCGTTCTCAGCCGGCCGCGCGCCGCTCAGGTCCGGCTGAGACAGTCTATCGCAGCGGATGACACAGGCGACCGGCACCGCAGACAGATATCGGCGACCAGTCTCACGGTCGCTGGCGGCGCTGTCATCACTTGCCGGTGTAATACGCACGTACATCGGCCCATATGGCACCTAGTGCTCGGACGCACCACTGCATGAAGCACAGCACGCGCCACGCGCATTGTGTCGGAAACGTGTGTGACGGGTGTGACCGATGTTGGTGATTGCGCAGCCTGGCAGCGTTTCCTAATCCTTTACGTGTGCCGTGGCCGGTGGCCGCTGAATACCGACGACCGAGGCCGTTCAGGATGTCGTGCTGCCAAACAAGAACTGGTACGGACGGCTGACCGCCGGTCCCTGCCGGGCGGCCACGGGACGGCCGCGAATCTCATCAGCACGCAAGCCGCCTACCGAGAAGCTGTGGGCTGCGCTTGGAGCTCAGCCAATGTTGACGCGACGCTCCCGGCACTGTTTACAACGGCCGAGTCGAGGGCCGGTCGATTTAGTTTGTAAAAGTGTCAGAGATAGACCCGCCACTTTCGGAGGCATGCGCGGCATGCACTGTCACGTGCCGGGCCCGGTATTGTATCAGGTGGTGCAGCGGTTTTATCGGTCTCCACGACCGTTGAGTGTCTGCAGCCTCAGACGAGATACGCCTCGGTAAACTCCGCTATCTGAAAGATCCCCGATCGACGGGGCCTAATCGAGTGTGAAAGCGTGCACTGTGCACCAAGCGCCGCGTGAGCAGCACGCTCAATGTTTGTCTGTCCACAAGCGCATTGCAAGCAAACTGAAAGATTGGACATGTTTGCGGTTGCCCTTGAGCGGTTTAGTGTACATAGCGTGCGCCTTCCCTCTCAGACTTTGGAACGAGAGTTAAATATTGATTAACCTACTCAACACCTCGATGTAGAATACATGCAATCGTGTCTTCGTTACAGCTGAAAAGTCGAATCGGTGTCAGACACTGCAAACTGAAGCACTGAGTAAATGAAACATACATTGTTTTCAATTCGATTTATTAAGGAACTATCCCATCCGGCAATTAAATGGTTGATCTCAGTGATATCGCATTGTAGGATAGTGAACATACAACGCTACATGACAAAGCAAAATCGCTGATTCGACAAATAGAAGAAAACAGTCTGCTGAAAACAAAAACACACTGCCCGTACGGCGTAGTATCACTCAGCACTATTTAGTTCGATGAACTCATGCATTGTCCGAGAGCTAGCGATGGGGCGCCTAGAGCCAGTTTGTTCCGCCTTTCTGGCTACAATGCCCTGCACAGGTTTCGCGGAGCCGGAGCCTCGGCACGTTGTCGCTCTCGGAGCCGCCGGCGGAAATGCTGGGCATTCTCGGGGGCCGAGCCAACCGGTATGGCATTCTGAATACGAACGGCGTCAGTCCGACGCCCCAGTCACTCATCGGCTTCAGACGACGGCAGGCTGGCGCCAACGGTGTTCCCGCCTACCGGTCCTCACGGCAGGCTGACATGAGGCTCCGAACCCACCAGCCGGGCGCAGCACCTCGAAGGCAGGGGCGTCATCACGGCTAACGGCAAAGCAATCCACATTTTCTGTAGCTCTCTGGTTGAACGCCCCACACATGATTGTCCATGCTACCCTCGATGAGTAACGGAGGAGCGTGGCACTTTGACGTAAATCACTTGTGATATATGAAATCCCTTGAGCACATGGCTGTTATTCCCGTGCAGCAAAATATGCCAGGCAGCATGACGGGCTACCGAATTTATTTGTAGTCAGTGCTGTGATCTGTAATTTTGTGTAATAAAAGAAATGTTATAGTAAACAGAAAACCCGCAGCCTTGACATCGCAGTACCTCTGGTTTCTGCCCTACCTTAAACGGTCCATGGAATCTTCTAATGACCTTTGCCGTCGAAATGCTCAAATCCCTTCTTCACGCCGACAAAATAAGCCCAGCCTTTGCAATATAAGCTTCTTTCGGTGTTCCTATTCATGGCCTTACATGTTAGCTTGTCAGCGAATGATGTCATAGATTACACAAGAGATATTACGCCCCATCTCCCAGCCAGCTGATGCACCAGGATGTGACGAAGCAAGGCGTTCATTTAGACTTATTCGCAGACTGTGGTACGGGAATGCAATGCTTCATTGCAGACTCTGGATAGATGGGGGTGGTTTTAGCGGGAGCTTATAGAGATAGGGCAATCCGAAAAGCCTTTTTCAAGTAGAATGCGTGGAAAGTTATGGCGTACTTTCCCGATTCACTTGGTAGTTTTTCTTTTTCTCTGCAGGCTTCGGATAAAGCTGCAATTACTCTGCAAAGCTTGTACCTCTGCACGTGTCTTACCTGGTGGAAGCGAGCACGCGCTAGCGGCACTCTCTGGATATTATGGACGGATGCGTGGTCGTCTATAGCTTTTAGCCGAAGATGAAGCGAAAGATTGAAATTTTTGCGGTGATTTTAGGGATGAAAGGTTACTTTTGGGGACCATAATTTTGAAATCATTCTTTGAGCCATAACATTCTTGAGTGTCGGCAACAATGCTGGAATTTGCCTTACTTCGTTTTGCGTCAGAACAAGCATTTGCGACATGTTTGGTATCATCGTCGCATCTTCTCCCACTTGCCCTACAACAATCACAATTCACAGCGTCTAAGTGATTGGAGAATTGATGTGAATGGCCCTAGCTTTAATCCTTGAGACGATACCTGATTCATTGGGGATCTGGCAGCTCTTTCGTTCGAATGAATTAACTGATAAATGGTTGTGTCCTTGCAGATGCATGTTGTAAAGCTAAGTACCAGCTGCTGATCCCCATACTAAGTACGCTATCTTCGCGGTGCATCGTCGGATTCCTCTGCAAATATTCCAGACTGTAACGGCGCTCAAGACCCTTCCAAAGGAGGAATTTAATGGGCATGGATTATTCTTGTTCAGCGTATTGCTAGTTGACTCATAACAGTATGTCCTTACCGGTACTGTCAACCCCTTCTGTTATGGTGAAGAAGTTGACCGCACCGCTACGTCAACCTTTTCATATTATAATGCGCAAATAATCGTTGCAGTTGGTTCGCTCTTAAAACCTGAAATGTGCTATCTCCTTCTGTTATATGGTTTATGCCTCACTTAAAATGCAGAATATATGAGCATGCCGCAAACGTAGAAGACGGATTATGCATGTTTGCTTTGCTGATGTTAGAGCTCTTTGAGCCATTATTGACCGTTTGGGTCCCACGCAGCAAAGGAAAGACTGAAACTCGAAGTAATATTGCAACCTCCCAAAATCGTCTCCGGCTCCGGTACTCTTCACACTTCGCTCACTCTCCACAGGGAGCGCCACCGGCGTTGTGCGAGTGCTCTGGCAGCTTATACATGTGAGAAGGTAGTGAGATCACCCAACGTTCACGCCGGCAACATGCTCGTAGAGAAATGAGACATCGCGTTGCGTCGTGTCGCGTTGCGTAAGTTGTAGGGTGAGGCGGTGAATAACGAGGCAAGCGTAGACGGGCGCCGGGATTAGCGCTGCTGTTCTGCACCACTTGTTATTGTCGTGGCCACAACAGAGGACCCGAACCAGCCTCACTGATCTGCGCCACTCAGAGTGTCCCACACCGTTAGGCCGGCGGCCGGTTCGTGCGAAAACACGGCTCACTTTTTCCTGCTGCCGACACATGCAACGCTTCGGCGATTAGCCTGGTTGTGGCGAGCCTCTTGATATAGCGGGCGATTTTGGCCGGGCCACAGCCACGGCGCCAGAGGGCGGCGCCGCCTGCGGCCGGGGGCGGGGGTGTGCCGCCCCCACCGCACCGCCGACACGAACCCAGCCGGATCTGCGGAGAGCTCGGCACCCACACCAACCGCCGGCCTCCCGCGCAGCGGGCGCACGCGCGTGCGGGGCGGGTCGCCTGGAGTGGCGGACGGCGGGGCCTCAGCAGCGGCACCGTTACTCATGTTCTCACCCCGTCCTCCATGACGCGTGCAGACCAGCATAACTCGTCGGCTTAACGTGGAACGGCCCGGACACTTGGGCAACCTCGAGTTGGCCCCGTCGTGACGCTGCGCTCTGCGGCTGCCGTGGGACGGGCGGAGCGCGCCGGGCCGGATCGCCGGCCCGTGTCGCCGAAATCGTCGGGAACCCCAGACCGGCAGCGGTGATGTGCCATCCAGAAACCGCCAGCCACGCCTGGCACGAGCTACGGCTCGTTAGCGGTCGCCGGCGAGGCTCCACAACAAATAGAGTTAGGGGCGGTCACAGCCGGCTGACAGGGCGAGCAGGCGGATCATGCCGCGCCGGCCAGTGCGACGCGCCGGTCCTGGACCGCCGCCGCATCCAGCTCGGACCTGATCGAATTGGTGAGGCTGAGTAGGTCAGACCAGTCACGCGGTCTGAGACCCGGTCCAGGACAGTGTGGTTTGGCAGCGCGGTAAGAGAGCCAAACACGGACAGTTCGACCCTGCTGCGTTCGTGCTCGCGGAGGGCATTATTTCGGCGCGGTCATCCACGCTCTCATTACCGTTCGGGAAAAAATTGTAGAGGTGACGGGGACCGTCCGCCGGGGTCGGGGGCAAGCGGCTCCAGCCTCGCGTGACGAACTCAAGACGCTCGTGATACACGCACCTCATCCCTGCACCGACTTCGCCCCTAAGGTTAAGAATAACCCACGTGCCGGCTCACACGAGCTCGATTTGCCGTAATGGAGGCGAGGCCCTGGCAACTGCAAACTGGCTGAGATCTTGGATTGCATCAAGCTATGCTGAGCAACGCACCGCGTCGTAGAGGTACGGCCGCCGCGCGGCAGGCTGCCGAGGGTGGCCGGACCACCTCAGCTGGATCATGTGCTAGCGGCTGTCGCGCCCTGTGCGCCGCTGTGCTGGCGTGTCCCGCTTTACCAGCGGAGCCGTTTGACTGCGCCGTCCGGACGCCTGCGGCCGCCGTCCGCCCACTGCCGATCCGGGTTTCCCGACTATTAACGCTTGCCGAGCGGCGGCGGGCCAACCGGATCTGACCAGCTGGCTGCGGGCTCGCGGCGCGTGCCCCCCCCCCCCCTCCCACATCTCCGCTTTCTGCCCACATCATCCGTCCGGCAGTCGCCCTGATCCCGATGTCCTGATCCCGACGTCAGGTGTCAGCGGGCTTAACGTGGACTTAGTCCTGTTGTCCGGGTTGGCTAGGTCCTGTTGCCCGGGTTGGCCGATGAGTGGGTCGTCACACCCTGTGAGGTCTCACTCACTCGTGCATGCGAATGGCACGGCGCCGTCTGGCGACAGCGCACGCTGTGGACGTCCAGCGCGGCGGGTCGTGGCCGGCTCGCGTGAGACGCGGCCGCGCCGCCGGCGGCGTCAGTCGGCCGGGACGGCTGCCGCCTAGTCAAACAGGAGGTGCGCGAGTCGCGTCACCGTGACCAGCAGCGGCGCTGACACGGCACCAGTCCGGTCACCAGCGACGGGCCTGTCGCGCGCTCACAGCCAGGCGACGGGCCTGTCGCGCGCTCAGGCAGCTGCCGTCTTCCTGGCGCCGGCCGGGCCGCAATGGTAAAACCCGACAGGAGCGCAAGGCGGTCGTCGTGGGCGGCCAAGCCAGCCCGCTTCGGACGCGGTGAGTAGCGCCGAGCGCGGGCGGAGATGTTCAGCTCCTCAGTGGCTTATGAGTGGCCTAGTGAGAGATCGGCGCCGCGGCTCGCGGCTGGGAATAGCCGGCTGAGGATCCGCGTCCGTTTAACATGGGAAACATGCAGTGGCAAGGGATTGAGCTAACGGGCAAGTACCTGTCCGCAAATGCTCTTCTATTCCCGGATTTGATCTCCTTGCATGCAGAGTTAATGAAAAGGATGGAACGAAAGCAGAGTTGTGCAGCTGGGCAAGACAGTAGAGGGCTGATCTGTGTTGCGCTTGCCGAGATCGGTCCGGGAGCAGTAATGAGCCATCGGTTCCCTCACAGCTGCAGTCCTGAGCGATCGGCTCCCTCACAGCTGCAGTCATGAGCAATCGGCTCCCTCACAGCTGCAGTCATGAGCGATCGGCTCCCTCACAGCTGCAGTCATGAGTGATCGGCTCCTTTACAGCTGCAGTCATGAGCAATCGGCCCCCCTCACGGCTGTCATGTCATCGCCGCGACGAGCGCGGCCCTCTGATCGCAGCCTGGCTGAATAGGTTGGACTGTACAGCGCGCGGGCAGACCGGCCGGGACACTCCGAGGCGGTGCGGCTTCGGCTGGGCTTTCTTATCCTTGGCCGACCTAGACATGCACAGTGGCGATGAGCTTCATGTGATGGAATTACCTGCTTTGCGAGGGGAACGTATTGTGCCGTCCTACTTCACGCGTCCGTAACACCAGCTCAGCCCGCACGAGCAACCTCGACGCAGCATGTGAACCTCGACCACATAGCTCGGCAGCAACGCCCAACACTTTTGCACGGGATATACACAGAACCCTGTGATATCATCGGCTCCACTTTTCTGAGTGAAAGTAAACACCGCTTTTCTTCTTTTCAGAATGTCACGGATGCCGAAATGGAGGAAGTTATGAGGGAATACAACCGATTACAAGCTGAGCAGCGGCGAAAAGAGGAGTACGACGAGGATGTCGACGAAGTGACATATTTTGGATCTTCTCACAACATAGTCGACGAAGGTAAGTCACATTTTCCGGGGTGCCATGTTCGCAAGCGTGATCCTACACCTGTCCATGCCCACAGGATGTGACACCTGTCAGGTGTCACCTGACAGGTTCCGCTACGAACAGAGCGTCTCCCATGGATGACGTCAATGTCAAACTCGAGTGCCTTTAAACCCTACCGTGAGCGTTCGCCTGAACACATGTCCTTGGCGGGCACGTTTGTTTACGTCCTGGCGAGAGGCGGTCAGCTGCCTGTTTGCCGCGGCGCCGGCGTACAAACCCGCGCCCGCCCGCGTGAGGGCCGCGACAGCGGTTTGGTGTTAGCGTCGTGGGCCGTGTGGCGGTCGCCGCAGCATCCCTGGCCCGCCCAGTGCTAAGTTTGGCGGTGAGATGAAGTCTTTGGCGGCGCACCTGTCCAGGTGATCGGCCCACCTGAACGGGGCAGCCGGAGACGTCAACGCGAGCCAGCCGGGCGCCGAGCGCCCAGGTCCCTCTCGGGAGCGGCGCGCGGGCCGACCGGACCCACCCGAGCGACCGACGGCCCAAGGCGGTCCCAGAGGGAGAGAGAGAGAGAGAGAGAGAGAGAGAGAGAGAGAGAGAGAGAGAGAGAGAGAGAGAGAGAGAGAGAGAGAGAGAGAGAGAGAGAGAGAGAGAGAGAGAGAGAGAGACCGGTGCTTGCTGCCTTTACCAGGTGTAACTTGAGACGTCTTTTTTCGGCCTGCTGGACTCTGTTACGGCCAAATTGCTTGTCAGACGCAGAAAATGCTGTATGCATCCTAAAGAAACACCCAGTGACGATCTAGCCAGGTGGAGGGAATTCCCGCGCGTGACGGTATGGTTTTGGAATAATAGTGCTGTTGGAGCGTGCAGAAAAACACCACACAGCTCCCGCTATTCGTCATCCACGGATGTCACCTCGCATTGACGGCTTATTGTGGCCTCAGCCTGTTAGTACCTTCTCGCGGGATTTCACCGCTTTGTATGCGGAGACAGCAAATTTATTTGCCTTGACTGGATGGAATTCGCAAGCAGCTGGGAGTGTACCACTGTCTTACCGTGCCGGGATTCCCGCTCTGAAAAGGCCCGACGGAACTAAACTGTCCTCAGTTACCGTTGACTGGCTCGCTCGACTGGCCCGGCCGTCGGGAGAGTTTCAGGTAGTGGGCCAGCCGCCGGCGACCGGCTCCCACCTAGTGCAGTGGCGTCACCCGACAATCGATGGATGACATCACCAACAGCTGACGGGCGAACCACGCAGCGGCCCGGCCTGGGGAAGCCAGTCCGCGCGCCGCACAGCCAGGTCTTGGAAATGAGTCGCTCTTTTTTTAGAGCACCAAGTCGCTCAACTCGGTAGTAGAAGGATTGCGGTCCTGCTGGATTGTAGGCGACTGAGGAATGTGCAGTGGTCTGCCCAATCATCCGGGGACTTTCCGATGCATCGTCGGAAGCACATGGCGTGCCAACGTCGACCGTGGCAGCCAATGCCCGGGGGGGGGGGGGGGGGGGGAGGGGTGCAGAGGGGAGGGACGGCGGCGACCTGGCGTTGGCGCCTCTGACTCAGCCCTTTGGTCGACGTCAGGCCGCGGCAGCTGACTAGTCGTTCCATCAGCATCGACCATGTGGAAGCCACGTGGACGCGGCAGTATCCGGTTAGCCATGTACACAGTGCCGGCGTTTTCCGTAGCGCAGCACGGCTAGCGGCGCTGAGAGAGCCGTAACCGTGGTATCCACCCAAAGCCGGCAGTGGCTGGGTACCGCGGTGGTATCTGGCCAAAGCCGGCAGTGGCTGGGTACCCCGGTGGTATTTGCCCAAAGCCGGCAGTGGCTGGGTATCCCGGTGATATCTGCCCAGAGCCGGCAGTGGCTGGGTATCCCGGTGATATCTGCCCAGAGCCGGCAGTGGCTGGGTATCCCGATGGTATCCTCGCAGAGCTGGCAGTGTCTGTATGCCTCGGCGGTATCCACGCGCCAGGAAGGGAGTCCATGCTGCACGCCGGACGGTCGACCATGCGCCATGGTTCCCACGCTGGCTTCCGGCGTCGCCCCCCCCCCCCCTCCCCCTCACCTGGTGCCGTGATTCAGGCCTCAGCCGCCGACGGTCGCCGCTTCGGCGAAGGGCATCGATCCTTCTGGCAGCAGCGACGTGGGTGGCCCCGATAAACACTTCCAGCGAGGCGGCCGGCGCCGCGCACCTTCCGAGAACGAATTGGACAGCGGCGTCCGACCCGGTTTGTTGGTCGCCCGGCCGTTTCGGAGAAACGAGGAGGTTTTGCGTCCTCGTCGCACGACACGTGCGAGTGCTGCACACCGCTGAACGCTGTTTTGGGGTTTTTAGAACTGTTGTTCTGGCATTCTGGATCGAACAAACTACTCATGTTGTGGCGCTGAGGTCTCAGAGCAGCGTAGCCACGGGCAGAGTGGAGGGCCCTCTTTTTCGACGGAGGGCTGATGCCAACATTCAGCCTTGGTTCGTTTCTGTGCGCTTGTGCACACGACGCGGTCGGTGGCGCCGGTTCTGCACGCTGCACACTGGCGTCAGGCTCGCGCATGTCCGAGCCATCGTCAAGTCATCCTGTTGTGAACGTTTTATTAGCTTTCCACTCGGGTCACGGGCTCTCGATACGAACGTCACCTGAAGGTGTTTCCTGCATCGACGGCCTCACCGGTTAATTCTGGTCCAGTCATCCCGGTAAGATAGGGTACTTTCCCTTGGTTCCCTTCCCCGAATTTACCATGAGATCATTCGGGCAGCTTTTCTGCTCATTTGCGTACGACGACTCGTCGATGTCAGCCGAGGTGCAGCGAGGTCGAAGGGCCTGGCAAATGTCAGCACGGGCAAGTCCAACTTTCCCGTGTAGCCTATGCGACACACATAAATTTGTGCATTAGCATTCGGCTGAGGCAATGGGATTACCGAACGCTCCTGTCTCCGTGATGCTCGAATGCTCCCGGGACTGAGATGGCACTCAGCTTAAAAGCATTTGTAAGGCCCAAAGAATCCTGATTAGCATTGTGTGTGATGTTGACAAATGGAGACGTTCGACATGTTTGACGTGGTGATTAGAGCCAAAGTATGGAACGATGGCTTCGCTTGAATTTGGTGGATGTACGTCACGTTAACGCGGTGGGCATAGCTAATTGAGGTGCAGTTTCGTCACTTTGTCCTTTGTCCTTGTTTATCACGATGCCCGACGACCCGAACCCAACCTTTTACGTGTAACGGTCAAATCGAATAGACCGATTGGGGATGTGTCCAGATGTGTGAATCCGTGGATTGCCTGGCTGCCCGGCACTCAGTCCGTTGTGTGGGCAGACGTGCGGACTTACCGGGGAACCGTTGCCCCGCTCCATCCCCTCCCTACGAAAGTAGTCCTCGCCCCTCCCCCCCCCCCCCCCTCCCTCGCCACCGTACATTGGCATAGTGCTCCAGTTGGAGAACTCGGTCAAGTTGCTGATGACAGTGTTCGCTTTTGCCGGCAGGCTGGTACCGCAGTCGCACGAGGCGCAGTGCCGAGCTCCGCACGCGGACCCGGTCCGGTATCAGCGTCTATTTCCCGCTGGAGGAGGCCGGCCTGGGCGCTCAGGAGGTGACGACGAGCGGCGCGCTCGGTCTATACCTGGAGCGCACGGGCGGCAGCGGGCCGCGCCCCGTCCAGCTCACCGTGTATGAGCTGAGCGAGCCGGCGGTGCCCGGCCGGCTGCCGCGCCGCGTCCGCCGTGGACAGCACCGGCTGACGGTCGACGCCGACGGCTGGCACGAGATCAACGTGACAGCTGTGGCGCAGCGCTGGCGAGCGCGGCCCGACCTCAACCACGGCCTGCAGGTGGAGTGCAGCCGCTGCCAGGGCGCGGTGCGCGTGGCCAGCGGCGCCGGCGACCGTGAGCGCGCACCGCGGCTGACGCTCCGCACGCGCACTGAGCGGCGCACAAAGCGAGCCGCTAACCCGTTCAAGCGGCCGCGGCGCGACGGCCCGCTCGACTGCGCCGAAGGGTCGCGCAAGAGGTGCTGCCGCCATGAGATGGAGGTCAACCTGACGGAGCTCGGCGGCTTCGACTTCATCCTGTATCCGGAGAAATTCAGCGCCTTCTACTGTCGAGGCCACTGCCCGCCCTCCTATAACGTGGCGACCGATCACGCGCTGCTACAGGGCTTCGTTCACCAGAAGCGGAAGCGGAGGTCGGGCGGCGGTCGGCGCGTGCCGCGGACCTGCTGTGTGCCCAGCAAACTCAGCCCGATACTCATCGCGCACAAGACCGTGGACGGATCGCCGCAGCTCACCTACTGGGAGAACGTGGTGGCCGACGAGTGCAAGTGCTCATAGACAGTGCGCCCGCCGCACGGACCAATTCGGCGCCAAAGACGCGCGCGCGTGACAGTTGCCGGCACAGTGCTCCTAGTCAGACGCTCATACGGAAACTTTGGTTATTTATTTCACAGTCATTTCCATCGCACTCAGCAGTTCCTGAGTGATGCCCATGTCGACGCGTTTGTTGGTTGTGCTGTCATGTTTGTGTGATGGCGAAAAGCGATGAACGTTTTGTGCGGAATGGGCCTCTGCTCCGGCGACCGGTGTCCAAGCGATGCTCGTATTTCTGTTGAGAGACATCGCTTTTCTTCATTTGCGCACTGGACGACCCCCTGAGGGAAACTTTACCTCTGAGGTTTTAACGTTCATTGTTTGTGCTCGTGTTGTGCGCACTTGAACACCTCGGCCATACTTAGCGCCGCCGCGCCGGCCAAAGAGTGTGGCTTTTTACAGCGACCGCTTGCGAGTCGCTGGGCGTGCGGTCATGGCGAGTCAGCGCTCTGGTGGCGCTTGAGCACTTCTGACCCACTGTCTGCACTCTCCATATCAGAAGACCGGACGCCCGGCGCACCTGCACCAAAGATGATCGTTCCGCCAGTTTATCACCGGCCGCCGGTCCCGCCCGGCCCACTGACTGTCGCCCCTTGAGCACGCGCACAATACTGGTCGCCACACCTCTCAGCGCAGACTCTGCAGCGCGCTGTAGCCGCTGCACGAGCGTGGTTTGTAAGACTGAGCTTCCGAGGGGGAGCGCTGGTCGCCGCCCGTGGCTCGCAGGTCTCCACGACGCCGGCTGGTCCGGCCGGCCTGCCCGGCAGCAGCTTTAGCTCCGGCCTCCCGAGGTCTGATCTCCGAGACGATGGCCGCGTAGCTCCCCGCTGGCCGACCGGCTCCAACTCTGTGATATATTTTTGTATGTTTTTCGTGTATACAATCGGCGTCGTGAGCTTATTGTTTACTGGATGGATCGTATTTTTCTAGACAAGCGTCTGCGTGGCGCCGATCGTTCGATGTTGGTGCGGCGTTTGTGTGTTGTTCGTCGCGCGCCGAGCCGGGCGTTCCCTCGGCGTGTGTGGGCCGCGTGCGGGTGGCGCGCGGGCGCGGGGCCGGTGCTCGGACTGCTGGACCGCCTCGGGGCCGAACATCTCACGACGGGAGGGACACGCCTCCGAGCGCGAGTCGCCGCAGCGTCGGACTCGGCTCAGCAGGCGGCCGCCGCGGCCTCCGCCTCCGCCTCCGCCGCCGTCGCCGGGTAGCGCGGCTGTAATGCTCACGTGGGTGGCCGGCGGCTAGGTGCGGTCACGTATCGCAGGGCGCCACGCCATCCCAGTGCTAGTGACAAACTTGGCTGTTGTGTACCCATGTGTTATGGACAGAGGCAGTCCTTGATACCATTCATATGGTGAAATTTTTCAGCCAGCTGTTTTCAGATACATTGTAATTTATGGACATTATTGAGGAAAATACACTAGATGACTGTACGTTTGTGTGTATCTACGGAGGTGTTGGACTGAAGGGACAGAAATCAAACACCATGAAACCAAAATCATAGTTCTGTTTTTTATCCGCGATTGATTTTTTTTTCTTCACTTATGCAGTCCGGTACGTAGTTCTCAGATAATCTGCCCGACGAATATGACAAAAAGGACGCACGATGTTAAAATACGTCGTCAGATTCCGGACTGGCGGGGCTGTGTACAGACCAGCGGAAAGCCAGAGCAAATAGATGACCAGCGCTGGACCGCCTAACACTTATGGCACGAGACAACTCGGTCTGAACCGGCAAGCGTCATCAATACACAGAAAGCTGATGGGCGGGCATTACAAGTGGTCTATGCACGCATGCGCAGAAGCGTCTGCAAAAGCCCCGTAGGCTAGTTGCCGCAGAAATGTGTGGAGTTTTGTCTCGGAAATGTTGTCAAACAACCGAGCGATAAATTGCACCTTCATTCTTCAAAGGACCGCCTGCTTTAGATCGCCGCAGATATAGCCCGTAGATAAAGAAGACGTCAAACCAACCATCCGTGCTGATTTAGGTCAAGTGATCGACAGTTTTGACTCAGCGACCTTAATAACTTATGCCTATAGTGAGCCCGCTTCTCCTTCTATAGAGCTACTCTGGGTACACAGCGGCAGCTGACTGAGGAACCTTTCGAGGTTCTGCTTCCGCAGCGTGTTGGCATTCCGAAGCGTCTTCCTGTCAATTGCTATTCACCCGAATTGCTTTCGTCAACCACCAAAACAGCATCGGCATTCCGAGCCTATAAATTTATACTCGTTGATAGTGTGTGCTGCATGCTTCATATTTTTGATCCTCGAGCAATCTAAGTCCGAATTCAAGCTAACGCAATTGATTTTCCGGAACGAATATTTTGCCGGCGCCACGCGTCAGTGTCGTCAGCAGCGTTCATAGACCGGATAGAGTCAGGCCGTGCAGTATTGCAGTCTTCCACAATCGCAACAACGTACCAACCATATCATACCATTCGTCATGGAGGGCTGAAAGAGCGTTGTTTGGGACATTCATGTGAGTCGGTGTTGGCCAGCAGGCCAGCACGGTGTTGGTTTCATGACACACTCCGATCCGATCACACCGATCTTTCAGTATTGCTGTCGGCAATTCATTCTTCATTTATCCTAATTCTGCCGAAGTAGTTCGTAAGAACCTACTCTTCTGAGACACCCGTCAAAACCTTGGTCTGCCAGAGAAACGCTGTGAAATCCCAGTTTCACCAGCAAAGCCTGGCCGACACACAAACAGGTCAATGGTTCTCCCTCGGTGCACACCGAGCTTGTCGCCTGATAACAGGCCGATCTTTACGTCACCTGGCCGGCGTGAGTGGCTTTCAATCCGCCGGAACTGAAGCCTCGGCGGACAGACACCACCGTACCAGTCTACCACATCTCATCTCCACCAGTCACACTGCTGATGGCCTTACCTCCTTGGAATCACTGATCGATGCTCCGGAGTTGAACAGGCATACTGAAGACACTCGCATGCGGTGTTTGATCAGCAGTTGTTCTACAAATCCCAATGTGAGCAGATAAAACGCAGCATTCTCACACTGCAGGATGATGGCACTGTGCAGATCAAAATCAGGCCCGGAACTTGACAGCCCCGAGCCACGGCGAAGTACGGCTTGACGGTGGAAAGGAGCATCGTATCAACGCAAGTATGCGGTTGTGTACAACAAGCCACGCGCACTCCAGCGCCAACTATGAAACCGCCGATTCGGAGCACGAAGGCTGTGGCCGTATGTGTAACTATGTCGGGGATGCAGGAACGACCAGACAGTAGATGAGGGAAGGTACCACCGGCGTATGAGTTCTGCTCTAGTTGCATCAACGTATTCAAGTATCATCTTAAAGACAAATTTCCCCGAAAGTACACGCACTTCCTCTTGGCCCCAGTTCCTCGGTTGACAATCCACTACATCGATTTGACTGGCACCTGCTATAGCCCTGTCCCTTGAGCGTCTGGACGCTGCGCTCGGCATTCTTGGGAGTCCGGTGGGGCACCCGCTGATATGGTGGCAAGGACCCGACCAGCGCGCGACAGGGCCTTGGCGAAAATACAATTCCATACCAAGCACCAGATGTTCTCAAAAATGTAGCACAACTGGTTTATCTATGCTCGTCCCTTGAAGACCAAACAAGAAAATGCGCATATCGGCCTAAAGCATGATTCATGAAACGTCATTCGCCCGCAATCAGAGAGCAACCACTCAAGCTGGACACTCACCAGAGCACGCGCTCCAGGTGCACGCCTATCCGTGCAAAAAAGCACAAGAGGCGAGCGGTAAGCCTTCTGGCCTCTTGGGCTCGCTTGCTGCAGTACTGCCCGGTGGGTGAAGCTGACCGATTGTCTGCGGGCTTAAACAAGACACTTGTGATGGACCCGCTTATAAACAAATATAGGGAGGGAGATCAGGCGAATACTTGGGGGAATAGTTGCAGGTGCTGGGGTAAGCTCGACTTCCTCGCTCCGCTCCCAACATATTTTGTAAAGCTTCATACATCTATATAAGGGATTCTTTTCGGCATATAGATCCAAGGCTTTACAATGCGTATAGTTATGCGCATATATATATATATATATATATATATATATATATATATATATATATATATATATATATGTGTGTGTGTGTGTGTGTGTGTGTGTGTGTGTGTGTGTGTGTGTGTGTGTGTGTGTGTGTGTGTGTGTGTGTGTGTGTGTGGTGTGTGTGTGTGTGTGTGTGTGTGTGTGTGTGTGTGTGTGTGTGTGTGTGTGTGTGTGTGTGTGTGTGTGTGTGTGTGTGTGTGTGTGTGTGTGTGTGTGTATAGATCTAAGTGCATAGTGAAAAGCACGTTTAGGTTTTGCGTAAAAGAGGTGGAAATGGGTATAGCCTGTTGCGCTGTGAATGGACAATCTATTCACTGCAGACCAATACAGACGCAGGGTCGGTCTACCCCGAGGCTGTGAAATCCGTGAGCGTCCCTCCACTCAAAAGTTCCTTTGGTCGGCTTCTGAGCTGCAGCTAGGTCAATACATGCCTGGCGTGGTGAGATGACTCATTTACCTGTTTCTAAGGGCATTGTCAAAACTAGCCAACATTTGTCACCGAACACTGCCATCCAAGGCGGTACAATTATGAATGTTTCTTGGCAAATCACAAGTCATGATGTTTAATCGCTGGACACAGCGTATGACATATGCCGTAGGGTATCACATTCGTAACTGTCGTATTATGTCCCAAGACCAGGAAGTGGACTAAGGAACGTCCTGGAAATCAAGTAGGCACACGGTTCCGCTTCTCCGATGTGAGAGAGATCGCTTCGGAAATAAAGTAAGTATGCAGTTGCGACTGAGCCTGGAAGAATGATTAATGTCATATGCACACATTTGAGCAGGACCTTTTATCATTTGCTACAGGCATCGCATGCCAGGTGACATGTGCTCGGACATGTTAACCGTTGCCCGTATGAGGGTAGTCTCAAAACCCATCTAGAGGGGGCCGTTGCTAGGGCAGGGG